CACTTCGCAGGACTAAGCTTATGTCGGGCATGTCCACCGACAGGCGGACTTTGGACGAAACAGCCATACGCAAAAAGTGCTCAGCCATCTTCAAAGAAAGAATAGCAAAATCGTTCCCAGACTATGTTTGACTAGGTTCGACTTTTTATCCGGTGTAGAGAGAGAGAGAGAGAGCGAGAGAGCGACACACACACACACACACACACACACACACACACACACACACGCCCATCTTGAGAATAAGTGCGAAGCGAAGCGTGCCCTCTGGCCGCCAAGCGATGCAACAAACGCTACCAAAAACGTTCCGCTGTTGTGGGCGCGCCCGGCTGCTTTTTATCGTCCGCTTGGTGCTCAGGCCTTGGCGAACACCAGCAACCCCTGCTCTCGCAGTAGGTGTTGGCCACACGCGAACACACTCTTTTGCGTCGGCGGCTAGGCAGGGGACGTGTGCGCTGGCGATGAAGGCTCTTAAACGGGGATGCCGTTGGAGAGAACTGTGCCACCATGCAGAAGGAGGAGCGGGCAGAGGACGCGGCCGAAGGGAAACGGGGACGGGGCGGGCGGCTCAGGGGTCAGATCGCTCCCCGAGGCCACACACACACACACACACAGAACTGTGGCAGTCTCGCCCTGGCGTCGGCAACGCTACTGGCTCGTGGCCCACGAAGCTGTGCCTCGCTCTCGCGCCAGCCGTGCTTCGGCGGAGGGAAAGCCGAACCAAACTAGGGGGGAGGGAGCGCTGCAGACTTGGCAAGAGCTCGAACGGGGTAATCACTGGCAAACCCTGGAAAACTCTCTCCTGTGGAGTATGTTGCGGACTCCCTGTCCGAAAACATTGTCACATTCCCGCAAGGAACTATGATTTGAAGGTCGTTGGGGGGGCAGCGCTGTTTCCAGGGCCAGATCCCCGTGCGCTCGGCGGGCGCGCTGGATCGGTCAACAGCGATCCTTCCAGCCGCCCTTCGCGAGAAGCTCTGATTTCAGGTCTGCTCTTGCCGACGATTGAGCTGCTCATGCTTGCTCTTGCCCTACAAAAGCATTGCCCTCTCCCCCGTCGCCCCAGAAACACAGATCGCGTTCGCTGCCCCTTAGCGCGCTTCAAACAATGATCTCGCCTGAACACAGCTCACGTTCCTGGCGGCTTGGCGCTCTCGCCTGCGCACCAGCCGCCTTCGTGGTGCAGAATGTAGCGATCTCGTCCTAGCGCTGGCCGCCACGTTCCCCGCTCGAAACAGCGCTCTCGCCGTGGCGCCAGCCACGTGCAGATCTCGGGCTGGCACTTCCTGGTCTTCAGCGCCGACCATATATCCGATGCTGTGCGGCGGCGGGGAAGCATTCATCTGGAAAAGATCGCCATATCGCTGCGGACGACCCATCGAAGTGTGCGCGACTCCAAACCAGCACGCCGATTCTGGAAGGCGGCCTGTGAGGTGGCAGGACGGGACGGGAAGGGAGAGGGAGAGAGTGAGTGGGAGAGGGGGGGGGGCACGAGGCCCAGAGCTCTCGACCGCACCTCGCGGCGACCCGGCTGTGGGGAACCCGGGGGCCCTACAGCCAACGGCTATCGGTGCCCCGCGTCGGAATTCTCCGGCTGACGACTCTGACAAAATCAGAACCATGTCCCGAGCTGGGATGTTGAGCGTTTTCTTATTCGGCAGTTCGACATTGGGCGGAAGGGAGGGGGGAGGGGGCGGTCTGGCTCTGGACCTCTGCTTAATGCGACTGTTTGCGACAGTGCGTCATATGGGGGAGACTCCACCTGCTCGAAACAGGCGTCAAAAAAGCCAAGATCTACTCCATAGAGGGGGGAAGGGGGGGTACGAGGGCCCGCGCCGATCGGCAAAACAATGAATCAGAAAACGATCACATGGCCAGAACACTGTTTACGGATACCCCCACCGCGGGGGGCCATGTTTCATTCGCTGGCGGGACTACCACGCCTAGTGCAGAGGAGGGACGTACTACCCCGTTTCTCCTCCTCCTCCTCCTCCTCCTCCTCCTCCTCCTCCTCCTCCTCCTCCTCCTCCTCCTCCCCCTCTCCTCCTCATCCTCCTCCTCCTCCTCATCCTCCTCCTCCTCGTCCGCTTCCTCCTCCTCCTCGTTCTCTTCCTCCTCCGCCTCCGCTTCCGCCTCCGCCTCCGTATGCCTCCGTCTCCGCCTCCGCCTCCGCCTCCTCCTCCGCCTCCGCCTCTGCCTCTGCCTCCGCCTCTGCCTCCTTCTCCTCCTCCTCCTCCTCCTTCTCCTCCCTCCCCCCCGAGACACGGGCTGGGGCTCGATGACTGCGAAAGCAATGTTGGCCATGCCCGTTGCATCTGGTTTGCGTCGCGCCGTCCAGATCGTGATCAAAAATGTCTAGGGACTGACGGAAAGCGCCGCGCTTCTATGGCGCAGCTCACCCCGAGCTACTTCTCAACGCACAAACTTCGGAGAGTCGGGTGCTCGAAGATCGGCGGCGAGAGCTGGTGGTTTTCCGACATTCCGAGGATCTTGTCGGACACGAGGTGCTGACCCCTCGCTGGGTGGAAGCTCGCTGTGCACACTCGGATACACAGGTGGACGAGGGAGGCCCACTTCGCCATGTCGCTGGCACGACGGCTCGAAAAGTCGGTCGCATTGGCCCGCGCTCTTCCCGCGGAGGCCATTGGCGCTCCCTGGGTAGGATCCGCGGTCTCTTCTGGCGGGAGGCCGAGGAGACCTCGCGGGCCTGGACCTCCGCGTGGGGGCGCCAGCGACGGAGCTCTCTCCCCGAAGCCGTGGCTCAGGCGGGCCGAGTCCCGGGGTGGGCCGGCTTGGCTCGGGGCCCTCGGGAGAGGCCACGAGGGGGGGATGCTCAAGAGGGGGGGGGTGCAAATCATGACCGGCGGCATGTGCGCGGCCCAGCGGGGGGGCCAGGGACGTAGTGAAAGAAGAAGAGGCGCCATGAGTTCTGGGGAAAAATCATGGCACCCGCGGCCCCCTCCTCCTCCTCCTCCTCCTCCTCCTCCTCCTCCTCCTCCTCCTCCTCCTCCTCCTCCTCCTCCTCCTCCTCCTCCCCCTCCTCCTCCTCGATCCTCCCCCACCCCCCCCTAGCCATCACCCCCCTCTTCTCCGCCCCCGGGGCCCCTGCGGGCACTGTCGCGTCGCCGGCGCTCGTGGGACTCTCGTGGGCCTCGGGGGGGACCTTCTCCACACGGCGACGTGCTCCCGGACGAGGGGCCTCTCTCCCGGATGGCCTCGACGGCGACCGTCGCAGGGCCCTGCTTACCAGCCTGGAACATATCCCTGTCCCTGCTGGGCACCTCCTCATCACGATGCCGAGCTTCGGGATTCCCCTATTGTGTTTGAGGGCGGATCCCTGAGATTGTCATCGCCCTCTGGCGTGTCAGTCTTAGGGATAGGGATACGTCCGAGGCTGGTAAACTGTCGCTTCGCCCTCGCTCGTGGGACTCGTGGGCCTTGGGGGGGACCCTGCTCCACGGCGACACGCTCCCAGACGAAGGGCTTCTCTCCCAGGTGGCCTCGACGGCGACCGTCGCAAGGCCCTTGCGGGTCGGAGGGTGCGCCGATCGTGGCCGTCCCCCTGGCCCTGGCATCCACACCCAGTGCAGCTTGCAGCTCACTTGAGGCGCCGCTTAGGCAGCTTAGGCAGTTTAGGTGCGCGGCTCTAATTTGCTCCTGTTGTCAATTAGTAGGCCTGCGCCCCGGACTTACGACTCGCCGCTTGCGCTCTCGCCTGCGGCCGCGACCAAAAAAAAATCGTGGCCGTCGCCTGGTGCCCGAGTGAGTCGAGCATGGTCGAGAAAGTCATACGGTAGGAGCTCGACCACAAGAAACCTTCCACCAGAAACCCAATCCTGAGATCCCAGGACGTGCATTGATGCTGGGTGTGGGACCGTCACGCTTTCCATGGCAGAACCATCGAAGCCCAGGGAACCCAGGGCACCCTGGAGGCAAGCATGGTGTTTCTTGCCACGGATTCAACTGTAGTCATGCTCCTTGCAAGCGGACTCTCAGCTGGATGTGACCCTCGTGTGCGCGTCATCCAGGAATCCACTGCTCAAGACGGTTTCTAACGGCATGTTCCGATATCCCCCGATCAGGAACGGGTGCTCTGTGGCGCTGAGGGCTGCGACGAGGAAAAGCATGATCTCCACGTTCTCTCCCGTGAGGCCGATGTTGGTGACCATGTAGATCGGTCCGACGAGCAGAACTGAACCAAATACCAGAGTGATCAGACGGGAAATGAGGCGGTGTGTCCGTCAATCGGGTACGTCCATGACCTGCTTGACTCCGACCGCCTTGGACGTCATGATCGCGACCCCTCCTGAGATTATCAGTTTGTGCTCAAATTACGTCAACAGCTCGCCAACTGCTCGCGAGAACCCAACTTTCTTGCACCGTCAGTGGGCCGATGAAAGCTGCGCCGAGCACCAAGACACGTGACACGTGTAAGACAAGAACAGAAGGGGCTCGACCACAAGAAACCTTCCACAAGAATCCCAACCCTGAGACCCCAGGACGTCCATCGATTTTTGATGTGGGAACGTCACGCTCTCCATGGCAGAACCATCGAAACCAAAGAAACCCAGGGCACACTAGAGGCAAGCAGGGTGTTTCTTGGCATGGGCTTCCGCTGTACTTGAAGAATGGGGCCATGGCTCTGCATCCAGATGATGGGCTCTTGTGCCGTGCAAGGTGCCCATCTTGATGGAGGTCGAAGAGTGCCTCGTCTTTTCGAGCAGGCAACTGACGAGACATAGATAGGCGCCGTCTCTGATCGTCAGGCTCTGGCCGGACCGCCCGCGGCAAAACTTGCGACACGGATGCCAGGCTGAGTGCCCGGGCAGAGCCTGACGCTCTTCCTGGCGAAACTGGCGACGGAGAGGCCAAGCTGGAGGGAGAGGGGAAACGGGGGGTGAGGAAGCGGAGCGAAAGAGGCGAAAGAGGATGGGAAGGGAGCAGCAGCAGGAGCGGGAGCAGGAGGGAGGAGCAGAGGAGCCCCGCAGGCGGCCGCGGGAAGCCTGTCCCCGTCCTTCACGTCGGTGACCGCCTCGGCTGCGGGGGGGGGAGGCGCGACCTCAAGGGCAGTCGAAAGCCTGGGGCAAGCGAGAAGAGAGCTCAGCCACACTCCCCTCTTCCAGCCATCCCCCCCTTCCTCCCTCTCGTTTCTCCTCTTCCTCCTCTTCCTCCTCTTCCTCATCCTCCTCCTCACCATCATCATCATCATCATCATCATCATCATCATCATCATCATCATCATCATCATCATCATCATCATCATCATCATCATGATAGTCAGCATCGCCATCACCATAACCATCATCATCAGCCCCAACACCACCATCATCATCCTCACCATCATCCTCATGGCCAACATCATCATCGTCATCATCATCATCAGCAGCATCAGCATCATCATCATCATCATCATCATCATCAGCAGCAGCAGCATCAGCATCATAATCATCATCACCGCCATCATCATCATCATCATCATCATCATCATCATCATCATCACCATCATCATCATCATCATCATCGTCATCGTCATCGTCATCATCAGCATCAGCATCATCACCATCATCATCAGCCTCATCCTGCCTCACCATCATCCGCACATGCAAAAGCATCATCAGATCATCAGCATACTCATCATCGACAGCATCAAGCATCATAATGATCACAGGCATCATAATTAGCATCGTCAGCATCATCATCAAAATCAGAAGCAGCAGCATCAGCATGATGATGATCATCATCATCATCATCATCACAATCATCATCAGCATCATCGTCATCGTAATTGGCATCGTCATCGTCATCGTCATCATCAGCATCATCAGCAGCGGCAACATCAGCATCACCATCATCATCGTCAGAATCATAGTCATCACCATAAGCATCAAAGTATACCATCACCGTCATTACCATCACCGTCAACCACAACAACATCGTCATCCGCGGCATCATCAACATACGCATGGTCTCAGCGTCATCAACAGCAACATTATGGTAAACCCCATAACAACAATCATCCGCATCATCATCAGATCATCATCAGCATCATCAGCATCATCATCTGTATCATCAGCATCATCAGCAGCATCAGCATCATCATCAGCATCGTCAGCATCGTAATACACACCATCATTAGCATCATCAGCATCATCAGCCTCATCATCACGATCATCACCATCAGCATCATCGTCGTTAGCATCGTAATCGTCATTGTCATATTGCTACTCCTCCTCCTCATCCTCATCATCCTCACGGTCATCATCATCATCACCATCATCAGCAGCATCATCACCAGAATGATAACCACAATCAACAAGATCTACATCAGCATCAATTACATCAGCATCATCAAAATCCAAATCAGCGTCAACATCATAATCATCATTAGAAGCTGCAGCAGCATCATCAGCAGCAGCATCGTATCGTTTTCCTCTTGCTCCTCCTCCTCCTCCTCCCTGCATCATCCTCCTTCTACTCTCGCTCTCTCTCTTTCCCTCCTCCTACTCCACTCATCCTCCTCCGTGTTCCACCACGCCCCATCTTACCCTTCTCCTGCAACTTCGAGGGAGGGGGAAGGACGCGAGTCACAGTCAAGGCCTTTGAAAACACCTGCTCAAATTACAAAACTCGTTTTGAGAATGCGGCTCTCTCCTGACTACCGCGAACACTCGTCTTGAACAGAACCAACAGACATACGGATGGAGAAAGGGTTGGTTTTCAAATCCCACCAGCCCTCTGGGCGTGGGTGGTCTGACAAGGTATCTCCTTCCACTTTAAAAGCCCCACTTTCCTTCGGGGAGGGGTCCCCTCCCCCTCCCCTCCCTGAGGTTTTTGAGGGGGTTCGGGAGGTGGCAGGGAGTCCTTTATCGCTCAAGATGGCTTCAAGAGGGCCTGATGCTCCAAGATGGCCTCCAAGGCGGCTCAAGATAGCCGAAGATGGTGCAAGATGGCTTCCGACACAACTCCAAGAGGCCCGTCGAGGGCCACAAGACAGTTCCAGGTGCTCTCGGAGCCACCATTAGGACCCCACAAGAGGCCCAAACCCGTCAAACAACCTCCGGAAAGTCAATGTGATGTTTGCCTTCTCGTCTCTTGGCTTCCGATGCGCTGCTGCGGCGTCAAGGTTGCCCCAAGATGGCCCAAGAGAGCCCGCAGAGAAGAGCCCAAGAGGCCACCAGAGAACGGCCCCAAGAGCGCCCAAGATCGGCCCAAGAGCGCCCCGAGAGCGCCCCAAGAGGCGACTTTGATGGCCCCAGGAGGGGAAAAAGTCGAGGACCCGCCCTCCTTTGATCGATAGCCTCCAAGATGGCCTCAAGAGGCCCAGGGGCCCCCAAGAGGGCCCCCGGAGGGCCCCAGGACGGACCCAGGAGCGCCCAAGGGCGCTCCAAGAGCGCCCCACGAGGGCCCCAAGAGGTGGCTGGGCCACCCCAGGCCCAGCTGGCTCCGATATCAGGGCGCTTCGCTGCGGCCATCAGGACGAGGGCCTGAGCTCCCCAGGGAGCTGCCGCGCTCGAGCAGCAGCCTTCGAAGCCTGGCGCCGGCCCACTCCTCGTTGGTCCCACCCACCCCCCGACTCGCCACTAATGGGGGAGGAGGAGGAGGAGGAGGAGGAGGAGGAGGAGGAGGAGGAGGAGGAGGAGGAGTAGGAGTAGGAGGAGGAGGGCGAGGAGGGAGGAGAAGGAGGAGAAGGAGGAGTAGGAGTGCGAGGAGGAGAGGAGGAAAGGAGGAGAGGAGGAGGAGGCGGAGGAGGAGGAGGAGAGGATGAGAGGAAGAGGAGGAGGAGGATGAGGAGGAGGAGGAGGAGGAGGAGGACCAGTGCAATCCCAAGACTCTTCAATGATGTTGCAATAGGCTCCCCTACAAGGATCGATCTGCACTGCGGGAAGTGGCCCGTTGGGATACAACCGTCTACGAATCTTCAGCCGTGCCAAAGCACCTTTCCTGGAACTTCAAGGCCGCGAATCAACGTCACGGTCGTGCCAGCGTGCAGCTCCTAGGACTTCGAAACCGCAAATAAACTTGACCGCCGCGTCATGACACTTCGCCTTCGTGCCGAAGCACCGTCTCTGGGACGTCAACCAGAAAGAGCCCTTGGGATTGCTGACAGCTTTTCTCTTTAATGTGCGCGGCGCTGACGCAAGGGCCACATGTCGAGAAGGGCCCGCCCTCCAGCCGCGAAACCGTTGCAAGCTCTTCAGACGAATGTGCGCGGCGCTACAGTCGGGGCGTTGACCTAAGGAACCCTAGATAAGGAACGGGGCCCCTTCCTCCGATAAGTTGAGCTTCGATGTCCCATGGAAAACCTCAGGAAAACAGAAGGCAAACTGCAGAACAATCAAGCAAACTGCAAACTACAGAACATCCCAAACGAACAGGGTTCCTTCTTCAAGGCCCCGACGCTAACGCAAAACAACAAAAAAAAATGAAAGACCGCCCTCTCCGGCCGTGAAGCTCCCGCGAGCTTCTCTAAAGCGACTGCGCGCGGCGCTCGCGGCAAGGGCCACATCCCGAGAGGGGGCCCGCCCTCCGTCCGCGGAAACACGCTGCAGGCGGTGAAAAAAAAGCGCGCGGCACTGATAACCAGCCTCGAACGTATCCCTATCCCTAAGATGGGCGAGCAAAGAGCGAGGACAGTCTCAGGGATAGGCCCTCAGAAACTGAGGAATTCCGCAAGATCGGCATCGAGGTGAGGTGATGTCAAACGTAGGGATAGGGAAAACTGGTAGACTAAAACGAGAGCCACGTTTTGAAAACGGCCCGCCCTCCATCCGCGAAGCTCTTGCAAGTTTCTCAAAGACGAATGTGCGCGGCGCCGAGGCGAGAGCCACACTTTGAGAACCGCCCGCCCCCATCCGCGAAGCTGCTGCACAGTCCAGGTGTAAGGATCCATAAATGGTGAAGGCATCTCAGACGAAACGCCCGGCCCGCCCTACCCACCGGTCTCGGGATGCGACAGCAATGACGTATCAACAAGGAAGAAGGATGGAGAAGGCGGAGGCGGAGGCCGAGGCGGCCCATGCGCGCCCGAACGCCCCCGCTGCCAGCGCAGGAAGAGGGTCGAGGCGGTCGGGGGGGAGGGGGAATCTGCGGGGTGCTGCCCGGGAGGCGGCCCCCCCTGGCACGGAGGAGGGGAAGGAGGAAAAGAAAGAGCAGGAGCCTGGCCATCGCTCGGACGTCCATTCCCTGTGTTCTTGTTCGGTTTTGTGCGTGGTTGTTTCGCCAAATGGTCAAGGTTTCTCCTCGATGGCCCTCGCCGGAGGAAAAAGGCACACGTCCGATCGATGCCAAGGGAGCAGGAGGAGGAGGAGGTGGCGGACCTCGGAAGTCTCTGGCGGTTTCCCGGGGACTCTTGAACCGTCATAGCTCCCCTCGCCTCCCTCTCTCCTCTCCCCCCCCCGGCACCCATGACGCCCCTCGCCTCCGTGCCCTCCCCTCCTCTCCTCCCTTCCGAGGCGGGCACGAAGCCGTAGCCGCGCTTGTCCCACTCCGTCACGGTCCCGGCGAGCATCGGTGGCAGGGCGTCCTCCTCGCAAGGAGAAAGCCACCAGAGAAGCAGAAACGAGGCCAGGCGCTGAAGCCGAGAAGGAGGAGGTGGAGGAGGGAGGAAGAAGACAGGGAGGGAGGAGAGGAAGGGGTGAGAGGAGGGAGCGCTGGATGAGACGGGGCCCAGCGCGCAGCAGGGATACTACAGCGCAGCCTGACCTGCCTGCTCGTTAGCGGCTGTCAAGTAGCAGCCAATCCCTGATGACAACTCTGGCGGACCAGATAGCGTGACTCCTGGCGGAACGCCACCTGAAACAGCGCGGGTGGTGAAGATCTGCCAGCACGGAAACGGGCAAGCTGGGCCCCCGAGTCTCCGCCGTCGCCCCTGGGGTGAGCGAAACTCCCCTGATGCGAACCAGTCACCGTCGCCTCGTTGGGCGGAAGGGGGAAGCGGGAAGGGATGGGAAAACGGGAGACATCGAAGAATCGGGATGGGGATCGGGCACCTGGGAGGCCACATGCGAACCCTACCCCTACCCCCCGAGCGAAGTGAACCCCACCCTCCCCCTCAGAAATCGCGGGGGGTAGGGGTAGGGTTCGCATGTGGCCCCCTAGCACCCCTTCCTCCTCGGGGGCGCATCGCCGCCGAGCGGTGCGCCGCACGTGGGGTGGGCGGGCTGCGCCAGCTCCCGGCTACGGAGCTCCGGCCGCGCGGGGGACCCGCGCACGCCGCAGGAGGAGGAGGAAGAAGGGGTAGGTCAGCTCTGGGCCTCAGCCTGTGTTCCGTCGGAGTGATCTTGCGCCACGACCAGCAGCCAGCGAGCCAAGCCTCCTCCTCCGAGCTGGGATGGGCCAGAGGAGGGTAGAGGAGGACGAGGAGGAGAAGGAAAAAGAGGAGGAGGGGGGGGAGGAGGAGGAGGAGGAGGAGGAGCGGAGGAGGAGGAGGAGGAGGCGGAGGAGGAGGAGCAGGAGGAGGAAGGAGGAGGAGGAGGAGGAGGAGGAGGACCCGCGAACAGAGGGACGGTGGAGGGAAGAGGGGGCGGGGCCCTGCACAAGGCTCCTCGCCGACTCCCTCTATCCCGCCCTTGATCTCGTGGACCGCCCACTTGCCAGGGTTGCGCTCGTCGGGCTTCGTGACAACCTGGGCGGGCGGGCGGCGGCGGTCCCCGCGGGGAATGGGGGAGAAGGGGCGCACGGAGGCTCCAAGACGGCCGCAAAACGGGCCCAAGAGAGGGAACGCGAACCGCAAATCCGAGCCTTCCGCCCCAAGAGGCCCCAGGAGGCCCCAAGAGGCGCCCAAGAGGCCAGCAAGATGCCCCCAAGAGGCCCCAAGAGGGCCCCGAGAGGCCTCCAAACTGCCTCCAAGAGGCCCCCCAAGAGGCCTCCAAACTGCCTCCAAGAGGCCCCCCAGAGGCCTCCACTAGATCTCGATGAACATCCAACAGGCTTCATACCCACAACCCAGGCACGGTGGCGGGTTAGATCCTATCGGTGTTGGTTTTGGTTCTTTTTCCAAAAGAACTCCCCTGGAGCTTCGGCCCGTTCCGCCAAGGCCCCCCCAAGACCCATAAAACACCCAAGCCATCGCCCAATTCCCAAATGTTCCTCCAAGACGGCTCAAGATGGCCTCCAAGATGGCCACGTTGGCCCAAGATGGCCTCCGAGATGGTCCCAGATGGCCTCCAAGTCCGCCGAAGATGTTCCAAGACGGCCTCCAAGACGGCCTCAGAGAGTCCAAGATAATCCCAAGTTCGCCCAAGAAGCCTCCAAGACGCCTCAAAGACGGCCCAATAGGCTTCCAAGAGGTCCTCCAGGAGGGCCCGAAGAGGCCAAAATCATTGATTTTCCGTAGATGCTTGAAGGACTTTGTAATGTGTTTCTTCTCGACATTCCGACGGCTCAAGACGGCCCATGGGGCCCCCAAGATCGCCAAAGGGGCCCCCAAGAGGGCCCCATGACGGCCCAAGAGGCCTCCAAGACGACCCCAAGAGGGCCCCAAGACGGCCCAAGAGGCCTCCAGCACGCCCAAGATAGCCTCCAAGACGCCCAATATGGCCTCCAAGACGGCCCCGAAGCGCCCCAAGAGGGCCCCAAGTCGGCACTAAAGGCCCCAAAGACGGCTCCCGACGGCGTCAGGCGTGCCAGGAACCCACCAAGATGGCCGAAGGTGGCTCGAAGCTGGCCCAAGACGGCTCAAGAGGCCTCCAAGAGGGCCTCCAGGAAGGCCAGAAGAGGCCCAAAACATGTATTTGCCATAGGTTTTCTCACGATTTTGACGTTTGCTTCGTTTCGGCCTTCCGACGGCCCGAGACGGCCCAAGAGCCCCCAAAGATCGCCCAAAGATCGCCCAAGAGGCCGCCAAGATGGCCCCAGAACGGCCCAAGAGGGCCCCAAGACGACCCCAAGAGGCCCCAAAGACGGCCCAGGACGCTTTTAAGACGCCCAAGATGGCCTCCAAGACCAGAGACCGCCCAAGAGGCCTCCAAGATGGCCCCAGAACGGCCCAAGAGGCCCCCAAGACGGCCCCAAGAGGCCCCCAGGACGGCCCAGGATGTTTTTAAGACGCCCAAGATGGCCTCCAAGACGGCCCTGGAACATTCCAAGAGGGCCCCAAGTCGGCTCAGAGAGGCCCCCCAAACGGCTTCCGATGGCGTCGGACGGACCAGGAGCCCACCAAAACGGCCGAGCATGGCCCTAAGATGGCCCAAGACGGCCCAAGAGGCATCCGAGAGGGCCTCCAGCAAGGCCCGAAAAGGCCCAAATCATTGATTTCCCGTGGGTTTTTGAAGGATTGTGGCATTTGTTTTTTTTCTGCCTTCCGACGGCCCGAGACGGCCCAAGTGCCCCCAAAGATCGCCCAAGAGGCCCCCAAGACAGCCCCAAGAGGCCCCCAAGACTGCCCAAGAGGCCTCCAAGACGCTCAAGATGGCCTCCAAGACGGCCCAAGAGCCCTCCAAGACGTACTCCAAGAAGGCCCGAAACGGTAAAAATGGCCTCCAGACGGCCAAGATGACCTTCAAGATGCCCACGCGTTCCCCGAAGGCTTTCCAAACCGATTCGGAGAACACATGGTCCGATAGCTTGGCAGGTCTGGCCTCAACGTTCGGCCACATAGGCGCGTCCAAAAAGGCAGGGGGTGGCGGTGATTCGCCGTTGGCGTCTTCGATCCGCCGCCCCCTGTCGATTCATCGCAGGGTGCCTGGCGTGCCAAATCATTACGGTTTTGGTTCTGGTTCTTTTTCCAAAAGGACTCCCCCCGGGGCTTCGGCCCGTCCCGCCGGCCACCCGGAAGGCGCGCTATTCTCGAACTGTTTGACTCCAGATGGCCCAAGATGGTCTCCAAGATGGCCGCGTTGGCCCAAGATGGCCTTCAAGATGGTCCAAGATGGCCTCCAAGTCCGCCCAAGATGGTCCAAGGCGGCCTCCCATACGGCCCAAGAGAGTCCAAGACGGCCGAAGACGGCCCACGAGGCCCCCTAGAGGCCTCCAAGACGGCCCAACAGGCTTCCAAGAGGTCCTCCAGGAGGGCCCGAAGAGGCCAAAATCATTGCTTTCCCTAGGTTTTTGAAGGATGTTCGCATTCGCTTCTCCTCGGCTTTCCGACGACCCAAGACGGCCCAAGAGGCCCCCAAGATCGCCCCCACAGCGCCCAAGAGGCCTCCAAGATGGCCTCAGGACTGCCCAAGAGGCCCCCAAGACGGCCCTAAGAGGGCACGAAGACTACCCAAGAGGCCTCCAAGACGCCCAAAATGGCCTCTAAGACGGCCCTGGAGCACCCCAAGAGGGCCCCAAGTCGGCCCAGAAAGGCCCCCCAAACGGCTTCCGACGGCGTCAGACGGGCCAGGAGCCCACCAAGACGGCCGAAGTTGGCTCGAAGCTGGCCCAAGACGACCCACGAGGCCTCCAAGAGGGCCTCCAGGAAGGCCAGAAAAGGCCAAAAACCCGAATGTTCCCTCCAAGAGGGCCTCCAGGAAGGCCAGAAAAGGCCAAGCACCTTAATGTTCCATAGATATTCTAACGATTTTGACGTTTGCTTCGTTTCGGCCTTCCGACGGCCCGAGACGGCCCAAGAGCCGCCAAAGATCGACCAGAGACCGCCCAAGAGGCCTCCAAGATGGCCCCAGAACGGCCCAAGAGGCCCCCAAGACGGCCCCAAGAGGCCCCCAGGACGGCCCAGGATGCTTTTAAGACGCCCAAGATGGCCTCCAAGACGGCCCTGGAACATTCCAAGAGGGCCCCAAGTCGGCTCAGAGAGGCCCCCCAAACGGCTTCCGACGGCGTCGGACGAGCCAGGGGCCCACCAAAACGGCCGAAGATGGCACTACGATGGCCCAAGACGGCCCAAGAGGCATCCGAGAGGGCCTCCAGCAAGGCCCGAAAAAGCCCAAATCATTGATTTCCCATGGGTTTTTGAAGGATTGTGGCATTTGCTTTTTTTCTACCTTCCGACGGCCCGAGACGGCCCAAGTGCCCCCAAAGATCGCCCAAGAGGCCCCCAAGACGACCCCAAGAGGCCCCCAAGACTGCCCAAGAGGCCTCCAAGACGGCCCAAGAGCCCTCCAAGACGTCCTCCAAGAAGGCCCGAAAGGGTCAAAATGGCCTCCAGGCGGCCAAGATGACGTTCAAGATGCCCACGTGTTCCCCGAAGGCTTTCCAAACCGATTCGGAGAACACATGGTCCGATAGCTTGGCAGGTCTGGCCTCAACGTTCGGCCACAAAGGCAGGGGGCGGCGGTGATTCGCCGTGGGCGTCTTCGATCCGCCGCCCCCTGTTGATTCATCACAAGGGTGCCCGGCGTGCTGAACCCTTTCGGTCTTGGTTTTGGTTCTTTTTCCAAAAGACCTCCCCATGGGGCTTCGACCGATCCCGCCAGAGTCCCCGAAAGGCTCCGAAACCACCTCAACGACCGGAAAAATTCTCCAAGACGGCTCAAGATGGCCTCTAAGATGGTCACGTTGGCCCAAGATAGCCTCCAAGATGGCCAAAGATGGCCTCCAAGTCGCCAAAGATGGTCCAAGATGGCTTCCAAGACGGCCCGAGAGTCCAAGATGCCTTCAAGTTCGTCCAAGAAGCCTCCAAGACGGCCCAAGATGGCTCCAAGATGGCATCAGACTGGCCAAGAAGCCCCCAAGAGGCCTCCAACACGTCCTCCAGGAAGGCCCGAAAGGGCAAAAATCATTCATTATCCTTAGGTTTTTGAAGTCTTCTTCAGCTCTCCGACGGCCCAAGACCCCCCACCATCGTCCCAAGAGCGCCCAAGAGGCCTCCAAGATGGCCTCATGACAGCCCAAGAGGCCCCAAGAGGGCCCCAAGAAGAGCCCAAGACGGCCCAAGATGGGCCCGAAAACGCCGAAGATGGCCTCCAAGACGGCCAAGATGGCCTCCAAGATGCCTCCAGGACGGCCAAGAAGGCCTCCAAGACAGCGAAGATGGTCCCAAGATGCACCCAAGACAGCCCCAAATGGCCTCAAGATGGCCTTAGACTGCCCGACAGGCCCGCAAAAGGCCTCGGCCCAAGAGCCCTCCGAGACGTTCTCCAAGAAAGCCCGAAAGGGTCAAAATGGCCTCCAGACGGCCAAGATGACGTTCAAGATGCCCGCGTGTTCCCCGAAGGCTTTCCAAACCGATCCGGGAAACACATGGTCCGATAGCTTGGCAGGGCTCTGGCCTCAACGTTCGGCCACGTAGGCGCTTCCGAAAGGGCAGGGGGCGGCGTTGACTCGCCGTAGGCGTCCTCTCTCTCTCTCTCTCTTTCTCTCTCTCGCTATATATATAGCACACACATGTATATATCTGTATACATGTACATACATACATGCATACATACATACATACATACATACATGCATGTATGCATGTATACATACATACATAAATGCATATATACATATATATATATACATACATACATACATACATACATACATACATACATACATACATACCTACCTACATACATACATACATACATACATACATATACACACATCTACATACATACATACATATACACATATACACACATACATACATAAACGCATACATACATACATACATACATACATACATACATACATACATACATACATGCATGCATGCATGCATACATACATACATACATACATACACACAGACAGACA